GAAGACGATCCTTCAGCTTCAAATTAAATTGTAAATTTGTAATTTGTAAATATGTATTTACTTTTGACATTGTAATTGTATAACTTTGTAAGTTTGTAAAATTTATAATTCGTCACAAAATGATTGCACTCTTTTTTCCTTGCCAAGTTTTTATCCCAATTGGGTTTTTCTTGGTAAGGTTTTTAACGAGGCAATCATGAATTACGAATTTAAAAATTAATATACAAATTTTATTTATTAAATTGTGTAATAATGTCTGTCGAATGTTGATTTTAGTTTTTATATAATTTTAATACAAAATAACTTAATAATTATAAAAATTAAAAAATATAAAAAAAAATTCAGGCTATTCTGGCAGGCTCGGGCTGCCCCGCCGGGCTCAGGCAAGCAAATACAAGTCTGCGGCCCGTTCAAAGGCCTTCTCGGGATCGGGCGGGCGGCCCAAATTTTTCAAGCGAGTCAGGCCAGCCTTTGGGTAAACAATCGATATTTTCAGACGGTCACGGGTGGCCCGTTCAAAATTTTAGCACTAGCCCATGAGAGATGTAACTAAAGCCAGGCATTTTCAAGGCATTGAAACTTTTTTTTTTATAATGATGTGATTTGATTTGACCATTTAGTATTCAAGACATTGAAACTTTATATATATATATATATAATATGATGTTATTTGACCATTTAGAGATGTGCAATATTAATTAATAGGGTATCAAAATTTGTAACTATTTACTATGTGACTGTCATTATTCATATACATCCAGAAAAAGTTAGACAGCGCCAGAAAATTGAGAAAAGTTGTCCTGCGCTGCTGCCCAAGATATAACTGATAGTAAAACCACATGCATCCATCGACGAAGATGGTTCTGTCACGAGAGTAACATGAATTAAAGGCAATATTAACTGGTAAATATTCTTGTTATTTTATTAGATAGAAATGGTTTTGGAATATATACGTGTGTTTGGCGTTTTGAGAATTGAGGTCATTATTCGTCCAATTTTTCAATATTATCTCTTTCTATTTTACATCCTGTACGTAGATCAAGGAGAGCATTGGTTCGAAATTGCAAATTTTGGGTATCTTTAATTTAGCTCTTCATTTTAACTTTTAAATTTACTCTTTAAAAAAAAAAAAAAAGGAGGCAAACTAGAAGTAATTTCATTCAGTGAGACTTGGATGTACATCAACAATATCCGTATATAAGAGAGGCATTCAACAGTCAAGAAAAAGGTTAATTTTATTATTGATAGCACTAATAAAAAAACATTTTATAAACAATTAGTATTGATATCTTTTAGGGTAATTTTTAATTTTGACCTGGAATTCTTGATTTTATGTGAACTTCCCCTCTATTTTTGTTTTTTAAAAAAAGTGATTAGTCTACCTTATTATTTCCATAAAATTATTCAAAACACACTTTTCTCCAAAATTATTTATAAAAGTAACAAAATGGCTGACATAACATGTTTGAAAGTGGTTAATGACGGGTGATTTGGCAATTTTGTCCTGAGCAAGTTCAAATTTTCCTTTTTATAATTAAAACTGTGCAAAAAAAATGAAAAAAAATGGCAAAAGAAATATCCTACTAATTATGGGTTATAAGAGAAATTGTGAATACACACAAAGTAAGTTTACAAAATCACCCTCTATATTAATCCATTTTGAACATGTCATTTGGGTCATTTTGTTGGTATTTAGACAAGTGCATCTTTTGAACTCTTATATATATATATATATATATACACACACACACACACACACACACACATATATATATATAGTTGAGGGGTTGCAATGACTAATTTTAAAAATGGAAGGGCAACTTGACATAAGATTATAGGTTGGTTATATTTATAATATCATACAATTTCTAATGTAAGTTCCAATTCTAGATTTGCCATTAAAGAGTGTAAGATGACATATTTAAAGTGCTATTTTATCTTGTACTCTAATGTATAATATAGTTTCAAATGCTCTATTTATTTTTGCCATAATTATTAAGCTTAACTTTTTAATATTAAAATACATTTAAAAGAACAATGTTTTTGTAATGGTTAAATAAAAAATTAATACATCTCTCCTAAAAAAAGTTAATATATCAACCAATAGTAATTAAAGGCTGAATTTGGTATTTGTTATATTAAGTGATAAATTTACTATTAAGTATAACATTTACAAAATTTTTCTTAAAAACTAGGATTGCATTGAAGAATATTTTTCACTCAAAAGATAAAATTTAGCATTTATGCATCAAATTTAACATTATATTAAAAATGCTCTTATAGTTAGTAACACATTAATTTTCACTTAGTATTATAGACTAATATGGACAAAAAGGACAAAGTGCACACCATTAAAATTCGAAAGAAATCAGAGTACATAATTCATATGTCATTGATAAAGTTAATCCTTAAATGTTTATCAAATTTAAAAAAATAAGTGTATTTTTTTTAATTTAAAACTACATTTTACTCACGGACTACTTTTTCATACCTAGCAAATGACTCACCAAACTATAAATTCTTTCATTCTAAGACAATAATTGCAAGACAAAAATGTGGACAAGAAAGCAAGAAGAAATTAGCTAACCAGAAAGGAAAGGCGTTTAATAAATTATTACTTTTCATCGCTACATGACCATGATACAACTCGAAACGTTTCGTAGAATGCGCAGCCCCAACTCCAAGTCCACGGGGGGAGCCTGTGTCGTAACACGTGGAATTGCCACGAAGTCAACGTCATCACTTCACCTCCTCACTTTTAAAAAAAAAAAGAAAAAAAAAAAAAGACACTTTCTTTCCTTCTCCAACATTTTGGCTGATACTTGAATCTCGAATCTCGAATCTTTGTTTTTCTTCTTCTTCTTCTTCAATGTCATCTGCTCACACAAACCACTTTCCTTAATCCTTTCCAGATAGATAAACCCATTTTAGAGAGAAGAAGACACAGATAAAAAGAGAATACTAATATCCAAATCTCAATATCAAATATGGCTTGGTTTAGAAGCCTCATCAGATTTTCAGTCACCAAATCATCATCATCATCATCATCACCGTCCATCAGACCCGGAACTGCAAGCCCATTTAGCCCATTTCCATCCCCGTCGCTTTCCTGGCTCGCGGCGGCGCATTTCAGCTCGGGGCAGCCGCTGGCCCACGAGCCCCCGGCGGTGGTCCCGCACGCTGGCCTGGGGCCCACCAAGCCGGGGGAGAAGCCCAGGGTGGTGGTGCTGGGATCTGGGTGGGCCGGGTGCCGGCTCCTGAAGGGGCTGGATACCAAGACGTACGATGTCGTTTGCGTATCGCCAAGGAACCACATGGTCTTCACGCCTCTCTTGGCCTCCACCTGCGTCGGCACCCTCGAGTTCAGGTCGGTGGCTGAGCCCATTGGCAGGATCCAACCCGCCATTTCTCGGGAACCCGGATCCTACTTCTTCCTCGCTAAATGTACTGGCCTAGACGCTGATAAACATGAGGTATTTATGTTTTGATTTTTCCTTGTTATTATTATTATTATTATTATTAAGTATTGATTTGCGTAGAGATGGATATTAAAAGGCACAATTTTGATTTTTGGGACCAATTTGTTGAAATTCGAAACTAAGCAAGAAAGGAAAAAAAGTGTCTCAGTTTTGATATGACATAAAGATAAATTATTGTTGTCAAAGAACATAAATATTTGGGGCCAATGTGTGAACTATTTGAGTTGTTGAAATGGGTTTAAGTGTGAGTAAGTTTGGTGTTTTGGGTATTGAAGGTGCAATGCGAGACGGCTACTGACGGGCCGGACACTTTGGAACCTTGGAAATTCAAGATTTCATACGACAAGTTGGTGATTGGGTTAGGAGCAGAGGCCTCAACTTTTGGAATCAAGGGCGTATTAGAACACGCGATTTTTCTTCGCGAAGTCTACCATGCGCAGGAGATTCGTCGGAAGTTGCTTCTGAATTTAATGCTGTCGGACGTTCCTGGTATGTTAACATGTGAATCGTATTGTAATTGTTGGTTTAGAGAACATTAGTTGTGTGACTTGAGGTCTGAATTGGAATCTTGGATTTTGGTGTGGAGGCAGGGGTTTCAGAATCAGAGAAAAGTAGGCTCCTGCACTGTGTTGTTGTAGGAGGTGGTCCCACGGGAGTTGAGTTCAGTGGAGAACTTAGTGATTTCATCATGAGAGATGTTCATCAAAGATATGCCCACGTGAAAAATTATATCCATGTTACCTTGATTGAGGTTCGGTCACTATGAACTTTGAGATACAAGTAGAGTATTCTTGCTAGAATTCTTCCAAACCTTTAATTAAATGTTTCTGTTGTCCAATCTACTTCAGTTGAAAAAGTGTTTTAAACTTTGCAAAAGGTTATTCATAGTATCATCGGTATGAAGTATGCTTGTGATTATCTTCTGTGAACTTGCCAACTTGTTTGAGAGCATTATAATTATAGAAGTGGTCTCGTCTGCTCAGGCGAACGAAATATTGTCTTCATTCGATGATCGCCTTCGTCACTATGCCACCAAACAGTTGACAAAGGTAAATAGAACTGATCGATACAATGTTTTCTATTACTTTTAGATGTGTTCCTCTTTTGGAATGTTGAGTATAGGGATTTCTTTTCCTTAGTTTTCTTTTACAAGAGAAGATTCTGTGAATCCAATTCCCAGAATTGCGCACTTTCCTTTATACCACAACAATGAAACAGCACAATCAATCAACACAAACACTCCACGGACAAGACTTCTGAAGAAAAGTTTGAGAAGACTTTTAGGCTGAACAACAACCAACATAATTACACGACTACACAAAATAAGACGACCATTTTATCAACAGATTCAAGTAAAGATGCCTTGTTTCTTTTAGTGGAACTAAGTATCTTCGTATGGATATGTTGGGCCCATTTGGAAGGTTGGTTCAAGTCAGGTGGTTTGAACTAGAATTCAGATTTTGTGAGAGAAAATATTATAGCTGAAATTTTTAAATTCAAATTTTTTGTGAGAAAACACTG